GTGAAGAACTTCTCTTCTCTCCTTTCCCCAGCGAGGCAGAACAACTGGCCACCCCTTCCCAAGAGGTGTCCCATCAAGCCATGTTTTTACCAGGATTTTTCTGCAGACATCCCAGCAGATTATCAACGGATATGCAAGATGCTCTATTACTTGTGGATGTGTAAGTTGGTGCTTGAATGGCAATCACAACTCTTCCTGGGAAGGTTCTGCATCAGCTGCTGAGCTTTGGCCTCCAGTAGATGCTGGAGGTGTTGCCTGTAAGGGTGAAAGTGTCTCCCCTTTTTTTTATGAAGGCAAATAGAAAAGGCTCCATGTTTATGCTTTGGGCATAACTCATGAATGACAGGTTTTGGAGACTTGAGCAAGTCTCTGAGACTCTGAAATAATAGAATCCCAGACTGGTTTGGGTTGGAGGGACCTTAAAGATCATCTAGATCCAACCCCCTGCATGGGCAGGGACACCTCCCACCAGCCCAGGCTGCTCCAAGCCCCATCCAGCCTGCCATTCAACACTGCCAGGAAGGAAAGACAGGAGATAGCACAGCTCAGAGTTTGGATGCAGAACAGACTCAACCATATTTGTCAATTTTGGTGCTCTGAAAAATGTGAAGGTTGGGTTGACAGCAGCAGGATCAGGTGAGGTTCTCCAGTTAAGCTCTTTTCCTTTCAAGGGAGGAAAGGAAATCAAGCCCAAAGGCTCCTTGATTTCTGCAGAGCTCCACGAGTTCAGAAAGAGATTAGGGATGCTTGTAGAGTCTTCTGAGTTTTCCAGGGACTTACTGATGTTTCTTCTCTCTCCCATTCTGGACAGTACATTCAATTACCCTGCTCCTAAATCTGCTCGCTTGCCTGGCATGGTTCACAGTTGATGGATCCAGAGGAGTAGACTTTGGTCTCTCCATCCTGTGGTTTGTCTTATTCACTCCTTGTGCCTTTCTCTGCTGGTACCGACCCATTTACAAGGCTTTCAGGCAAGTACTGGTGCCCTCTGTCCTGGGAAGGTGGCTTTTAGTGGGAGGGTTTTTTATCTCTTCTGATCACAGTTGCCTGCAGGAGAAGTGAATCAGAGTCACAGAATCAGAATGGTTTGGGTTGGAAGGGACCTTAAATATCATCCAGATCCAACCCCCCTGCATGGGCAGGGACCCCTCCCACCAGCCCAGGTTGCTCCAAGCCCCAGCCAACCTGCCCTTCAACACTGCCAGGGATGGGGCAGCCACAGCTTCCCTGGGCAACCTGGGCCAGGCTCTCACCACCCTCACACTCCACAATTCCCTCCTCATGTCTCACCTCAATCTCCCCTCTTCCAGTTTTCATCCCTTCCCCCTTGTCCTCTCCCTCCCTGCCCTTGTCCCAAGTCCCTCCCCAGCTTTCCTGGAGCCCCTTCAGGCACTGGAAGGTGCTCTAAGGTCTCCCTGGAGCCTTCTCTTCTCCAGGCTGAACACCCCAACTCTCCCAGCCTGGCTCCAGAGCAGAGCTGCTCCAGCCCTGGGATCATCTCTGTGGCCTCCTCTGGACTCTCTCCAGGAGCTCCACCTCCTTCCAGTGTTGGGAGCTCCAGAATTGCTCCTCTCCTCTTAGAGAAGGGTGTCTGTGCAGTTGTCATGTCCCTGGGTCTCACTCCTGCTCCCATCTCTCCTGCAGGTCTGACAGCTCCTTCAGCTTCTTCGTCTTCTTCTTCGTCTTCTTCTGCCAAATCGCGATCTACGTCATCCAGGCTG